TTTTACCTTTTAACTTCCCATTTGTATTTTCAGTCATGCTGGGATCTGTTACAGCCCCATTCTCAGAGCAGAGACTGTATTCTTTACATAGAGCTGAATACAGTTTAAGTACTAATTGTTCCTGCAATATGAATAAGAAACAGTAATAATAATTACACCTTTTAGTTGAATGCGAAAAAGCTTGTGAGCCCAATCCTGTTTCCATTCATGACAAATTTTAAATAAAACTGAGAGGAAGAAAAGTAGATATTAGGCCTCTGTGACGATACAACTGTGAAAGTTAGTCCCCAAATATTGTAATTATTACTGATATTGAAAAGGTTATGCCTAAGTATAGGATTTAATCCTGGGTATCTAATCTACGCTAGTTTTCCTGAAGGGCAGCTGGCAAATAAGAACATCACAGCATGGCATTGTTGGGCCATACCGCATCTTTTTACCTCATCCTTACTGGATACCTTCGTTACTGATGAAGTTGCAGAGGAAATAATTTAAGAATTTTAGACACCCCAGCACCGGCTCAGCCCTCAGGAGCAGACTTGCAAGTCACATGCACTGAAATGACAATGTCTGCAAAATTTGACTGAAGATGGAACAGAAATTGGGTGGAAGAGAATCACACTTTATTAAAACCTTACTTACATCATTAAAACCCCTGTGAATCTAGTAATTAAAACAATGTATCAAAACCAAAACACAGATTGGGTTATCTAGTAAGAACAAGAGTGGACTACTACCATAAAGATTATATACATATTTTAGGTAAAACGGTTGAAATTGGCAGTCATGTATTTCTAAAAATGCTAACTGGTGTTGTGTACAGTAAATATTTATGCACTTCAAATATTTAAACTTATATTTTTTCCTCAACTGTGCTCTTCAGTAACCCATTGAGAACATTTCATTGTCCAGTCAGTAGAAACAATACTTAGTTATATATAAAATCATATATTTATATATATATAAATATAAAACACATATTTATATATTGTATATATTTATATGGGTGGTAACAAATGTAAACTTTAGAATTCTAAAATTATACATAGAAGAATTTATTCGATTTTATCTCAAACACTTGTCTAATGGCACGTATCATGCACATTGCATGTATGCGTGCAAGACATTGAAGTGTTTTGTAAGTACACAGAAGTTTGCAGTAATGGATTATACATTAGACCAAATTTCTAAACCTCTGAACAAATAGAGATTATTCGAAAATTATCTCTGAACAAGCACAGAGAAAGAACAATTACTTAGCAGCAATTATGTTCGCTTCTTAAATAGTATGCTGCTGGTATAATGTAGAAAAAAAGTACATGCTTCTCACCTGAAGAAACACACTAAAACCAAGGTTATAGCTAGCCTGTAGCATTTTATGGAGACTGGCAACAGGAGGAGGAGTAGTTCCATAACTGAAATTATTATGCTAATTAAAAAATGTAGTTACTTGAGCTTGTGTATCCAAGTGATGAATCAAATCCCTTATTTTAGGCTTCTTGGTTCTTAACTCTTTGAACAACTGTTCTAAATCACTTCTTTTTTTTTTTCTTTTCATTATATCTCTTTCACCCCTACTGTTTCCCCTCAAATATAATCCTTGTCAAATTCAGAATCTAACCCACCCCCCCCCCCAATTAAAGGACAAAAACGTGTGCATTCCTAAGCATGCATGTAAGCAAGCAAACAAAATGTGGGGAAACAGGAGAAATAAATGTGCAGTTCATAATTTTATCTGGTCATAAATGAAAGCAATAGCAGCTAAGCAACACAAAAGGATGTGTGACTTTTTTGTAAAAGGTTTTTTTTGTTAGGTTTTTTTTTTTTGTTTCTTCAAAGTGTAATGCTTTTTTTTTTAATAAACTGCTATAAAGTATTTTTAATCAACATTAAATGTACTTATATTCAAAAAAAAAAAAATTCTAGCCACTGTCATTAACTGCCACTGTTACTAGCTTCTTGGCTGTGGGACTAGGTACAACACCCTGCACACTAGCAATTCTGGTTATTCCAGAACAAAGAGACATTAACCAGAACACAGACGTTGCTGGACCTTGCAAAACAAACAAAAGGTAAAGACTTCATGCTTTTCAAGCTCAATAAAAGCTCAGACAAAGGCATTATGCAGGTAAGTTGTATAGTTATAAAAGAAATGGGAAGTTCTGGCAGTCACACAGCATCCTCCTAAAAATTGCACAACCAAGTTTCAGGCTGATCTATTGAACCACCCTCGTCTTTGGCGATTAGATCTGTGTAGATGCTAGACAGTTAGCCAACTACTTGGCAAGGCAGAACACCTTACAAAAGTAACACTGGTTACTTGAACAGCAACCAGTGGATTGTGGCCTCACTTCACTGTCACAAAAAACCTTTGTCCTCTGACTGCTGATCAGCAGGATTTGTGTTCTCGTGAAGAAGCAAAAAAAAGGAAGCACAATAGGGAAGAGGAAAAAACAACATTTTGGCTGAGAAACTGGAACTGAGCAGGCTCTTATCACAGGACCTGGACCTAATCTTACTGAAACCAGCAAGTTCAGGGCTCGTTTTTCATACAAGGTAGTTGCCCAGTTCATTAAATATGTGGATCTATGTAAAACAAGAACAAATGAAAGCAAGTGATGAATGTAAATGCTCTGAGTGGGAGGTTTCATTTGGGTATTTTTCTACAAGAAGATACCCAAGAGAAGTTACAGAGAGATAAAAAATTTGGGACAGCCTGAAGAAGCCCATACCCCAAAAGCAGCTTTCACCCCTTGGCACTTCTGCACTCTTTCAAGAGAGGCAGAGCCACACCAGCTCCTCAGGGTGACAGTCCTGGCTTCTCTTAAGTAATACATAAAGAACAATTCCAGCCTGAAGATGATACAATCTTGCAGTCTTTCAAGGTCCTGTTACAGATTTGATCTTCTTCAGTGTCCTCACTGCCATTAGCTCAAGGCTCAGGGATGGTCATATAGAACAAACAAGGTCAAGAAACATTAGCAGATGAACAGAGCACAGAACAGATAACAAATACGCTGCTTTGTAAACCCATAAAACGCACATGCTTGAACAGTGTCATTCCCATCCTTCCTTTTTCAGCGAGGATACAGCTGAACAAGGTCAGAGAAACTAACAAAGATTGCCAAAGAATAACTAAGAATGACTAAGTGGTGCAGGAGCATTCAGCATCCAAAAAGGTGTCGAGGAGTAGTGAGGCAGAGATCCACAGAGTAGTGTGGACACCATCAATAGCCATAGTCTCTCCCAGTGTGAGAACGAAAGGTTGTAAAATTAAATAGCAGACAGGTTTTAAAGAAAACGTGTGTCTTCACAAAATACACAATTGGGCCAGAAATATATTTGACAACTTAAGTGCCTTGTTCACACTAAAACTTTCCGTGGTGTGAAGGGGCAGCCAGACACGTTCATGGAAGAGACATCCACTGGAAATAATAATTAAGTGCGTAGACTCCTTCCCTTCCTCAGGAAGTCCCCGCAAGGCAAATTGTTGGAGACAGGAAAACATTCTGCACAGCAACACCGTGCTGCCTTCATCCCCGCGCTTCTGCTGGGCACCCGCTGCTGGTTCCCCCCCCCCGTCCCCCCGTCCCCGCGATGCCACCCGAGCCACCTGCCCCGCAGGGACACCGGCCCCGGGCCTTCTTGAACTAGGTCCCCTTTTCAAATTCAGTCCCGGGCTGCCGAAATCAACTTGACCGGGCACCGCCGAGGCAGGGTGCGGCACCGCGGGGGGCGCGCGTAAGTTTGGGCCCCGGCTGCCGGCCTACAGAGCCCGGGCCTGCCCCCCCCGCCCTCTCCGCCAGGAGGGAAGCCCTCACCCCTCGGGCAAAAACCGCGTCCCGGGCCGGACCCCGGCCGAGGGGACCACCTCCCGCCGACACGGCCCCTCCGCGGCTGCCGCCCCGCCCCGGGGCCGGCGCTGCGGCGCGGCTCGGGCCCAATAGCGGCCGGGAGCGGTAATGGCGGGGCGGGGCGGGGCGGGCGGCGGGGCCTGCGCCGGGCCGGGCGGCGGCGGCGGCGGCGGCGGCAGGGCCGAGGCGGAGCCGCCGGTTAAATACGGCCGGGGAGTGGCGGGGCTGGGGAGGGGAGATGGCGCTGACGGCGGGGAGGAGGCAGCGGGAGCTGGACAATGTGAGTGCGGGCCCGCGCGGCGGGCGGGAGCGGGGCCGGGCCGGGGCGGCGGCCGCCGCCGTTCCGGTGGGCGCTGCCGGTGTGTGTGTGGGGGGGAAGCGCCTCGCGGGCCGTTTCGCCCCTTCTTGCCGCTTTTCCTCTGCTGCTTTGGTCGCCGAGGGGTGAAGGCTTTGCTTTCCCCTTCCGGGGGGGCAGCGCCCGGCCGCGCCGTCCCGTAAATGGGCGTTTCGGCAGGAAGGAGGCGGCCGGGCCGCCCCTCGTGCTTCAGGTGCCTCCGAGTGAGCTGGCTGGGGGGCTGCCTTTAATGGAGGATGCTCCTGTAGCTTGTTAACTTCTCCTGGGTTACTTTTTTTTTTTTTTTTTTTTTTCCGCAGACAGATCCCCTAAGTGTAATTTTTTGGTCTGTGTGCTGTGCGCGGGTGTGGCAACGGCGTTTTTCTGTTTACTTGAGTGTTTCCCGTCCCCCCCCCCCCACCCCCAGCTGGAAGCCTGCGCGGGCAAGGCTTGCTGGCTGGGGCTCTGCCTGCCCTCCTCCTCCTCCTCCTCCTCCTCCTCCTCCTCCTCCTCCTCCCGGTGCGGGGCTGCTGCGGAGGCGGTCACATGCTGGAAACGGATCTCGGAGTCAAGAGGCTGAAGCCATAACCTGTGCTTGTGGTAACATCGGTGCCTTAACAGAAGGCCCATTTTTGTAGGGCGTTTTGGCTTTTGACAGCTGTAGCTTTGGCTCATCTTAATTAAATGAAACCTGTGCTTGATCTAATTAGGGCACTTACTAGATTGTCTTAATGTTAGATTGACTGCACGATGTCATCTTCTCTCTTGATTTAATTCCCCTCCTTCACGTGTTGCCTGTAACACCTGCTCAGGGAGGTTATGTCATCCAGTGCTTCTTAACAGCTGACAGTGCTAGCTGTATTTCAGGATGCCGAGATGGATTGTAGCCTGTCTTGCAGTAAGTAACACAATCAAACATGTTCTGATAAAGCTCTGGCTGTGAAGGAGTGTGCTAATCTGTCATGGTACTGCAAAAGTGACAGGTTTACCTGTTCCTGTGACACGAAGTATATTGTCCTAAGGAGGATAACTGCCTTTGAGAGGTGTGAGCTGTTAACTCTGTCATTAATTCTGTGATAGGGAAGAATGAGGCAAGGTGTCTTGGCTGCTGGAGGGCTGGTCCTGCACACTTCCTTTCAGAGCTTAAAATTGTACCTGCCCCCTGAAAATGGGGGATGAGGGATGGAGGGCATCTTTATACTCTTGCTTCTGGATTTTATATCAGTGACATGAGAGGCGTGCCATTTATAAATCTTTAGCTCTGCAGTAAAAGGTCATCTTACCAGGCAGGTATTTCATCAAGGGCTGTGTACAGCCAAAGACTAGGCTAATTAAAAGGTATTAAATAGGTGAGGGAGGCCAGTTTACACTCCTCTATGGTTGAGCAAGTGTGGTGTTCACAGTACCAAAACAAAACCGATTGCTGACTGAAATAACCCCTGATGACTAGTTCCATCGCTGTAGGCAGCTGTCTGTATGTAAACTACATTGGGGAGCCCATCTACACTGTCCCAGTTAATATGAAGTACCAATCTAAGTCTAATCCCAAAACTTCTTTATCTCTTTCTTCTTGTACTAGTGTCTGGAAGAATGACATGCCTCATTTGTCTTGAGGCTTATGCAGCTTTCTGCCATGTCAAGGAGAAGTCCTCAGTTTAAAAACAGTAAATATCCCAGTGAACCCTGGCATGTTTCTCTGAATAGTCAGAAGTCTGGAGTGAGATGGGGTCTGGCCTTGTCTTGTTGTCCTGAGCTGTGATTGGTATCACTCAGGAGAAAAGCAGTCTTGCTCTTGATTGGGAATCTTGAGTGTCTTTATCTTTTGAAGCAAGCAAGTCATAGCATGGGATGTAACAGGATGCTAAGAGGGACACTTGAGCAGTTTGAGCATTCACAGTGGCTGTGTATGTTCAGCTTAAGATGTATTGAATGACTGTCCTGGCCTGGAAGGAGCAGAGAAGCATAGCGCTGGAGCAAGCTCCTTGTCCACAAGGAGAGGTTTTTCCCTCCACACATACTTAATTTTACCTTAGCCAAAAATACCTGAGCTGAATGTGAAGCCAAAGCCCCAGTGCTTGGTACCAACATGACAAGTAAAGGCTGCATGCTCTCTGGTGAAAGCAGAGAAGGTCTTGCCCAGCACTTGGTAACATCTTTCTTCTGTGAACTGCAGCTTGTTTCTTGCCTGGGTTCAGCTTGAACTACCACTGGCTGGCATTTTGACATGTCAGTAGCTGAATCTCTTGAAACTTACTGGTACACTGCAGCTTTGTTATTGCTTCTAACTGTAGTTGGACAGAAGTAACAATAGCAAAGATTTTTACAGTACCTGTATGATGTATGTGAGAGAGACTTTGTCACTTTTTCCACCTTTTCACATAAACATACTAATATTTGTGGTGTCTTTCAGGAGTGATGTTCAAATACTTGTAATACATTTTAGAGACTGAAGTTCCTGAAGACTTGATATGATATCAGGGGGTGGATTAGTGTTGGATTCCTCAGGGACTGAGTTCTCGCATAAAGATGTGATGAGAGTTTGCCTAGAATTTAGGACGTTGTCTCAAGATGCTAACCTGTTTTTTTCCCCCAAGCTTAATTTGCTAGCAGAAAATTGTAAAAACTTTACTTTTAGAGCTTACCTGTTACTACTCTTTGCCTTCCCCTCCTGTTCCAGGGTTCCTTGGAAATAACACAGAGTTTGGAAGATGATCCTCTACTGGATGCACCGCTTATTTCATCTCATACATTGCATTCCCAACTGAGGCCAAGATTTCATGCTATCCCAGCAGTCCTCCTTGCCAATTTTCTTTTGCTAATACATGTAAGTTTAAGAAGGGTGATTTTTCTAATGAAAATTTGCTGTCTCTATTCTGACTTATTACTGTTTATGTGGACAGAATTCTCCTGAGATTTGCATACACTGTTCTTCCAAACCAGTGAAGTACTATTTGCCAATGCATTTTGATAATGTATATGCTACGTGATACTTGCTGCGTTCTCACTCTGATTGTTTGTTGGTGCTAACATGCTACAACACGTCTTGTTAGGAAGAAAAGCCTTTTAAATAGTAGCTCTTCTATTCTGTTGCAAATGTACTGTTAAAATTATATTACTGCTATAGAAGTGCTTCTTTCTGCTAGTTATAGAGGGCTAAGATAATTTTGATGCCATGCCTTCTGGAGGCTAGACTTAATTTCACAGGGTGGACTTTAAGGTATTTCTTATGGTAACTAAACAAGTCAAGTTGGACTTGCTCTAGGGGTTTTGCGTGGTAGTGGGTGGAGGGAGAAAGGAATCTGAATGTTATTTCCTGCTCTGACTGACAGGTAAAGGGTGAAAAGCACAGATCTTGTGCGTAAAGTATGAATGCCTTTTTGAGGCTGGTAGATAGAAGTAGAGAGACTCCTACCTAGTAATGAGCTTATCCTCAATAAGCTGAAGAGGCTTATTGTTGCTTGTGAGATGTGAAAACCAAACATAAAGGAAGGGTGAAGGACTCTGATCCTGAGATCTGACTGAAATGGTATTTCCATGGCCCTTAGGGACATGGTTTAGCATTGGGCTTGGTAGTGTTAGGTAAACAGCTGGACTCGATGATACTAAGGGTCTTTTCCAACCTAAATGATTCTATAATGCCACTAACGCTGACCTGAAGATTATATGTGTATAAAGCCAGAGAGTGCACAAGATGTATATATCTGTGGCTAGCCATTTTAGAGCTTTATTTGATCGCAAACAAAAAAATGAGGTGTCCAGTGCTCTGCAAAACATACTCTCTGACAGAACTTTAAAAGTGGGTACCAACCTCTGAGGTCTGTCTTTGGACAGTTGCATAAAGCTGTTCAAACAATATGCCCATGCCTTCTAGTTTTGGAAGGACATGTTTTGTGGGCCTCTTTGTAGTATCAAGAAATGTTGCTCTATCTGTCAAGCAGATGTAGGAAAGACACTTGTTCTGCTGAATAAACTACTAGAATTCCCGATGGAAATTGTGTATCCAGCCTTGTTCCCTTCACCTACCAGAAGAACTCTGGTGCCATCCCATGAGGATGGCACTCGAAGTCTGCATTACAAGGGTAGACACTGCTATTGGTAGTAGAGCAGTAAATATTTTTCTGCCTAGCTTTGGGGGCCTTACTATCTACTACCATGATGTAGCTAAATGTCAGCCACTGAGATCCTAGGAAACTGCTGCCTCTCCTGTGCCTACCAATTCCCTTCTCCCTCAACTGGGCAGAAGTGTAGGGAGGTGACAGAGAACTGCTGAGGCCTCTGTCAAGGCACGCTTTTCCAGGTAAAGTCTTGCTGCTGTTGCTGAACCTTCTGCAGTGGCCAGTTGGTCTTCGGAGCAAAATGGAGAAGTATCCTTTTCTGTTGGTGAAATACAGCATTATAATTGCCACATGAAATGGTGCTGTCTCTTGCTGAAAGGATGGATGGGGAAAACAAGTTTACTGGATTTCCTTCCCCTCTGCTTCTGCAAATGTGCACAAACCTTGTGGAATGTGGAGACGCCAGGTTAGCTTCTGATGCACAGCCTGCCAAAGGGGCAAGTATCCTGGAGAAGTTAAGCCATCGCAGTATTTTGCAGTAGAGTTGTAATGCATCTCTGAAGTAATTTGTATGTAACCTAGAAACTTTCTTCTCCACCCTCCTGTGCCAATAAATGGAGTTAGGTAGCAAGTAGCTGCTTCAGTGCAGCTGCCTAGTTACCAACAGTTCTGGAGGGTGTGTGTAGGATATGCTTGAGTGTGGTGGGGCTGGGCTTTTGAGTAGCTTTCCTTTTGCCAAACCTTGGTTTTCTGCAGGCTTCTGGCTCCTATCAGCAGACTGTGGAGAGCAGTGTAAAATGTACAGGCTAGAAATAATTTCTTTATATTAACCTTGTCTTTCCTTAATCCCCTGTGTGTATGCACATACACAAAACTGAACTTTATATACTATTCTTCTTAAGATTAACTTTTTGAGTATAAAAATCCCCTGTACTGGGCTGAAGCGCCTCTTGTTGGACTGCCCTAAAATGTAAGCCAAGCATCTTTAATAAATGTAAATCTCAGCTATCTCTTTCTTCTTGTATACACAGCTGTAGTAGACTAGTGGAGGTGCAATGCTAGGCCATTCCTGCTTGCATCAGTTTAACATAGCCATTTTCTTTACTGAAATACATTCCTAACACCTGGAGGGAGTAGAACTAGATGTGTTACTATTTTAAAATGGCAAACCAAACAGTAAATGAACCAAGTAAAATATGGATTTGCTAGATTATTCTTAGCTTTTTAAGAGGAGGTGGTAAAATAGTAGATAGAATGTTTTGTTGATAAACCTCCCCTTACTTAATTTAGCTACCTAACCTATCTCAAGGTAATTTGGGATTTAATTTGAATTTGAAGCAATGGTCTTATGGATTATATAAGGCACACACTAATTTTTTTTCTTCCCACCTTCTACCTTGTCTGTCCTATGTCTCTTGGGTATTGATAATTGTGTGAAAATTATTCCCCCTTCTTCCATCCCCAATTACCTAACTGTTCACAAGCAGAGCAAGCTAAAGGCAGTGATTCTGAAAGGTTACTTTCTGTGAAGAAAGCTGCTTGAGAAATTAGAAAAAATATGAAAAATAAGTTAAAGGGAGTAGGAAGGGAGCAGTGGGCTCTTAAATAGAATTAAGCATGGAAACAAAGCTAGCAATTGAAAACTGGATGCTTTTCTCAAACTTCAGTTCTGATGTGTTGTTTCTACCAGTTATGAGATGCAGAACTTTGGACACTTTTTTTAAGCGAAGTATGTTAGAGGTATTAGACTTTTGCAGACTTGAGGCAAATTGATTTTACTTTGTTTTGTTTGTTGTCTAGAGAAGCTTTTAATTTACTTCTCTATTCGTAGACGTTGCTCTCGTTTTCAGTTCTGTTTTACAATATTCCTATTCTGTAGAATGAACCAGGATGGTGAAGTGTCATTTTCTTGTTCACTGAATGAAAACAGTAGAGAGTGTTTTCTGTGACAAAAACATTCTATAAAGATTAAAGAAGCCCTGTGTATATACACATACCCCAGATAATGTCCACCCAAGACTCTGCCTTCTAATTGGCCAAAAGATTGCTGATGCTCACTGCAGATGCTTAAAATTTGGAGGAAAGTCTAGAAGACAGGAAAAGTTATGGCATAATGGCACTAGTCTGAAAGGATAAGTGTATATGCAATCTGACTGATTATAGTCTGACTATTCTGACATAAGTTCTCAGCAAAATGGAAAAATATGATAGTAAATATCCTAAAGATTGATTACCAGCTGACAAAGATGCTTGTCCAGTGTTAATAATTTACTTGCTAAGTTACTATGATGATGATCCCCTTTTTCCTAATGTCATAACCTGAAGATTATCTTCGATGGATATAGTAAAATGTTGATTTTTTTCACTTATGAAATGCCAATTTAAAGAAACATAGACTGTACCGATGAGATATGAGTCTGTCCTGCAGATCAGTAACAAGTGTAATTGAACAAGTCTAAAAGGATGTAATTTTTTTTTTTTTTGAGGGAGTATAAATCAAGTTCCCCTTAAAGTAAAAAAGACATAGTAAAGAAGGTCCAGAAATAAGTTAAATTCACTATGAAGAGGCAACTTGGAACAGTGAAATTGAATTAGAGGAAATTCTGGCAAGAGGAGTGATTTTCAGTTCTGGTCTGGACGCTGGTTGTCCTCTTGGAAGACAATCTTACTCCTTAGCTATTTCGGTCATGGTATGTTCTCAGAATGACATGTTCTGGTTGTAGTATGTGTCTAATGTTTTATACATTCTCAGCTGTAGTGAAAATGATTTGGAAAGTAATGCATAATGAATAAATTACCGAAGTCTTTTTTTTAATAGTTAATCGTTGACTGTGGTTTTCTTTCTTCCTTTCTCTTCCAGGTTGCTTTTGTTGTTTTGGCATTTTTAGCAGCTATGTTTTGTTCTTACCCCAATCCATATCAGGATAAGTGCCCTGGGAACTATACTCATCCACTTAAAGTGCAGACCGTCATAATAATTGCAAAAGTAATTCTGTGGATTCTGCATGTTATTTTTGAACGATACATTCAGCACCACCACAGTAAAGTCAGAAGCAGAGGTTACTTCTCAATATACCGATCAACAAGACATCTAAAAAGGCTTCCACTGCTGATACACTCCACAGGTGAAGTGAACTTGTTTTCCTGTTTTTTTTTTTTTCCTTCTGAAGCTTTAAACTATGACACAATAAAAGACTGAACACTTTTATATATAAATGTATATCGTATATTATGAACTTTTAAAAACCTGTTTGGACCTCCTGACTGACCTTTCTGTCCTGCCAGATGCATATTGTAAAAAAACCTCTTTGTAGTGGAAAAATGCCCACAAGTGTGAGATTCAGTAAAATATCTAGTTGTTTGCATCTAGTTTTCAGTCATAAAATGTTCAGCCAGCGAGGTCTGTGTGTGGTTGCTTGTGATCTTGATTTGCATACTCATTTGTCTAGTTGGATATATGGCAAGATGACCAGTCCTTCCAGAAAGTGTGCTACTCTTTTCTGTTCAAACTCAGCAATTCATATAGAAACAGATGTCTTGCCTGTTGCTCAATGGCTGTCTGAAATCAGTGAAATAAGAACATTTTCTGGTCTTCAGTGGGGCTATATGCAATATTCAGCTCTACTTTTGATTGCCTTTTTCTACCTTCTGTGGACAAAGGGTAGTGTATGGGAGTGGCTTAATGCTATATATTCTGGATTATATCACTGGCCAGTAAAGCTGAAAGAAGAAATGTTGAGGAAAAAGTATCGATACAATGAGCTTCTGTAGATTCTCAGAAACTACTTCAACAAATATAAAATCCGTCTAATTTAAGGGGATTTTTCACACAGAAGTAGCATTGGAAAAGGGAACAATGGTGGCTTTCACATCATTTTTGCCTTTTATAATCCCACCTCCCTTTTGTAAATCTTCTGAATAACTGGAGTAGAATTTTTTTTTCACCAGAATTGTGTTAGAGGGTCCTGCTTTATATAAAAACCTAGCTTGCTTTCTACCTAGTCACTAAAAGAGCTAGTCAGCATGATGAAAGTGCAAAACTTCAGGCTCTGGCCACTAGATAGAGCTCTGAAGGTAAAGATGTGTTTGGAGTGCAGTGACAAAATCGGTTTACTGCAGGCTTAAGATATTTCTGCCTATTGTAATGTAATCTGGAATACTTAGCCCTGTCTTCAGTTTTAGATGGAGCCTACTTCCCCCCTACCAGACAAACTCTAGGCATGGGTAAATGTTCAGGTATGTTCAGTCTTGTGCTGTAGACCTTTGATGTTGATCATCTGTAGTTCAGAAAGTGGTTAGCTCCATTACTGCAAACTCCCTGCCATGCTAATTGCTGCTGATACCACTTCCATCCCGACAGTTCAGTTGACTAATGCAGTATGAAAGAGAACCATACAGTTCTCTAGCTACTTTAATGGCCTTAAGACACTTACTGCTTTATCGGGACAGTGGTTATACCATTTCTACAGGAAAGAAAAGAGCATTTCACACTCTGTATCAGAGAAGAGGGTGTATAAACAATTAGGAATGTTTGTTAGGTCTGTAGCTCAACACTTGTTCTCCTTGACTAATTGTGCTTGTTTCAGTTAAACTTTCAGTAACCTGCAAGTACTAAAATAATAGCTAGGCAACTGGAAGCCTATGCAAGTATCTCCTTGTGAAAGGAAGGTGTGTGAGTGCTTTTGCTCTGTTAGCGTCGTTTAAATATACCCAAATCCACCACTTGAAGGAGAGCATGTTCTCGTTTAGAGTTGACTGATGTGACCTTCTAGGAATGGAAAAAAATTAATGGTGTCCAGGTAGTTTTGGGGATGGGTAGCTGCAACAAGGCTAGAAACTGTTTAAGCCCACTCATGTATATTGGGTATTTCCAGTGCATTTCTTCCACTCCAGTTTTAAAGTCAGAATAATCTATAAGAAAACTCAGTTCTCTACCATTACAATCAAATGCTGAAATGAAACCTTATTTTGCTGCCAGCAGTTGTAAGCTTGCATCACCTGTGTTAAGGAAATTAGCAAAGAGGCAAGTATGGTATGATATGGAAAAGCATTGCTGAAAGGTTGCAGCCTAGTGTAGACACCGGAGATAAGAGTACTAAGTTATTTTCAACAGCTAGTGAAATTGTTACACCTGTAAAATGTAACATTTGTTTTCTAGGTAATGCAGCCCTGCTTTTGATTCTGTCAGTGCAGCATTCCTTTCCTGATCGCAGTAAAGTGTACCTGTATCTCATCCTGGGAGTTCTGGGCCTGGAGCTGATTAGCTCCATGACGTGCTTAGTGATTTACACAGGTGAGAGGGGCTATTTTTGCCTTCTTGAGTGTGACTTATTATAGCTGCTACTCAACAGTTTTGTTTGCCCTCATGGTTACTCACTTGGGGTACCCCAAGACATTTAACTCCAACTACAAATACAATTATTTTGTGCATGTAGAAGGACATCTAAGGCAAATTCCAAACAAATAAAAAGGTTGTCAGGCTTGATTTGTTCTCCAAGTGCTGCTAAATGAAAGGTCTGTGTTACCTCAAAGTTGTTGATCCACTGAAGTGGCAATAAATGCATAATTGTTGCAAAATTGTCCTGTGAACAGGCTTGTCTGTTTAGCAGTGTGTTCTCAAATGTGTGCACTACAAGCTGTGAAGCAGTAAGAGCTCACTGGCTTAATCAGAACTGCTTCTGAGATTTGCATGTGGGACTTGCATAGCTGATAGTGTGATTGTGCCTTACCCTCCAGACTCTTCATCCTTCCCTGGCCCCATCCCAAAAGCTTCAGTTCTCTTTGTCTCTAAAACGGAAGATTCCCTCTAATGAATGTTTTAAAAAATTATGGCTTTTGGAATCTGTGCTAATACTAAAATAAGATACTGCTTCATAGAACGGTGAGGCATTGCTTTGTTCTGTCACTGTTGGTTTATAAGGCTATCTACTTTTAGGACTGGTATAACTTATTGAGACTTGATAAATCTCTTTCCATTAAACTATTGCAGAACTACCTAAAATGTTGATTAATAAGTGCTTGAACCAAATAGTTTTCTCTGATCCTATCTTAAAAACTATTTGGCTCTGTCTTGCATTAACTCAAAAAAAAAAACTGGGTTGGAGAGAAAAACAAACAAAAAACAAAGCAAAAAACACACAAACAAACAAACAAACAAAAAACCCCCGAAACAAACAAACAAAAACACTTAAAAATAGAAGACACCAAAAAATGCAATTTTTGTTGCCTGAAGAAAACTAGAGATGTTTACTGTGAAGTCCATGTCTATTTAAATGACATGTAGTTCCTGCTCTTGAGTTAGATAGCAGCAGCATCTGAGAATCAGGTGTATAAGCTTTCTGATTATTTGCAGCTACAAACAAGGAGATGATGCCTTAGCTAAGCAGCCTCGGTAGCACTGGTTTCTCTGGGGGTGAGGCAGGGGGAGCAAAACCAAGGGGCAAAACTTGTAGTTTGCTCCTGACCCCTAATCAAACAGGGGGAAGGAGTGTGGAAGTACCTCCTACGGGACTTCATGAAGTTTAAAACTTGGTGAAAGCCATTGTCTATGCTGGTCAGTATTTGCATGAATCTGGCTTCTTTTGTGATGTCATAACTACTAATTAATCTAGGATTTTTTTTCCTTTGGAGAATAATACTTTATAGTAATGTAACCATGCTACTTGGCAGTATTTCTCTGTGCATTGACATCTAGGAAATAAAATCTATCCTTGACACTCTGCAACACTGAAATCAAAATGCAATGAGAAGTAAGGTCCCAGCTCTAAACCGTGTCCTCTTACAACTGTGCAGAGGCCTGAATGCTGTAGGCTGGTCAGATTTTCCCCTGGACAGACCAGCACAGCTCAAGTAGACTGACTGTCCCTCTGGAGGAATAAAGGCAGCATGAGGGAACACAAGCATGGCAGTCCTAGAGAACTATTTGAAGAATGCTGGAGATCATACCTTCTTTGCATATGCATACTTTATTTCCTGAGTTTCTCAGGAAAGTAGAGATAAATTGCAAAACCTTAGTAGAAGTCAGGAATTCCAGTGAAATGCTGTTTCTCACCCTGAGGCCCCTTGGAGCTCGGAGAGCTATGTTGTGTCTTGTCCTGGCAGAAAAGGATAAGCAACTGCAAGAAAGTTGACAGTAGCAGTAGTAAGGTCTGAGCCTGGACTTGGCTAAGAGCTCTCAAATTATCTTTCTGCTTATTTGTCAACAAAAGGATCTTCTTTCCTAGCTTGTACTCTGCCAGTTCCTGTGCCCATCAAATCCATTAAGTGATTTATACTAGGAAGTTGTGGGATGCAAAATTTTGCTTTCCAGCTGAAGGAGGCTTGATTCCACTGAGTCCTGGAATCAAGGTGAAGGAGAGGAGGAGCTGTATTGCTAGAAAGAGCAAGGCAGTTCCTTTTGGCAACAGCTATTTTCTCAGCAGCCCCAAAACACAACAGCCTAAGCTTCATTTTCTAAAGCTTGGTGTGCAAAACTAGGGTTAATTTTTATGTGACTTAACACTTGCCTCAAGATGATGACCTCCAATCACCTTAGGTTGTCTTTTCTAGTGGGTAATGTAACTTGTTTTCTTGTTTTGCATCCCAATATGTGTTGAGGTAAGCTAAGAGACTGTATGTCTGTCTTGTGTGTGTAGAAGTGTTTGTTTTTTTTTTTTAACATTTCAAGCATCAAACCAAAGCTCTGCTGAAGCAAAACAAATGTGTTTGGCTAGTTTTGAAAATAGCCTGAGAATCTGTAGAAATAGTGACACTAATAACTATTTTTTTTCCTCTTAGAGCAGAGTATGTGGCTGAATGGAAGCATGAAGCTTCTTTAGTGGGATAGTTTTAAGGTCAGCCCTCTGCTCAAAGTTAGCATCCCACTCCAAGGCAAGCACATAGCAAGTACAACTTACACTTAAAATAATATCAGCTAATGTAGCTGAGCAACAATGGGGAGATTAAAGTAATCTTACACTAGCAACTCATGATCGACCCCTTTCTTATGTTAGCATATTACTTCTAAATTTTGGAAGGAAGGTAGCACCAGTTCATACATTGTTTCTCCATGGTGGAATAACTCTGTCTTAACTAATAGAAGAAGGCATAAATACTTATCTGTAGGAGGTTCATGTACCTGGCTCGCTTTCATTTAAATATTACTGCCTTGCAAATGGAAGTGGTGGCGTGGAATATCTGATTGTAACTTTAGATATTCCTTCTTGCTTGTTGGAGCTATTTTATGAATTGTGTGATGCCCAATGTCATGTGAAGTACTACTGCCTTTCTTAAAATTATCTATTCAGCAGTGTGTATACAGCTGTAGGATGCACAGGCAGGGATTCAGAAATCTACAAGGAATTACTGTGACCTAGAACACACTTGACTTTTCAGTTGCTCAAGTGAGGTCAATGTGCATAGAATGAAGTATGATACAGGCAGCTGTAAATGTCAGCTTACTAGTGTAAGTTTGTTAGGATAGGGAGTCAAGCTTTAAAAGGTCTACTAAATATATGTATTTAATGTTGTACATACTTCTAAGATCACTTGAATAAAAGACTAACGTTCCCACAAACAACACATGTTGGGAATTCCACATCCATTCCTTTGTGGCTTGATTTGTAGAGGAATATCATCATAAAAATAACTAACCTTTGAGCCTAACTTGTAGTTAACCTCTGGAGGGTCTTAGTATTGTTTTAGCAGGGTGGCCTGTAATAAACTCCATCATATTACTGACTTGTAAGGACAGTCTTTCTGTGCTGCAGTAGTGTGGATTTCTCACAGAGCTGGACTGTAATGTTTTTAGTGGCATTAGATGTATTGCTTTCCAAGCAGCCCTAACTGAAGTGTCCCAAATGCATACTCTGAATGTCTTGGTACATTCCCTGAATCAGGACCTGATATTGAATGACTTAAAATATTTTCAGCTTCCTTCCAGAAGTAGTGCAGAGAGCGCCTACCACTTTTCCCACCCATCCCTGTTCTACCTCTGTTAAATTTAGTCGTAAACTTTATTCACAGGTGCCCAGGAATGACTTCTGATTTCGATAGCCAATATTGCAAGGTTCACGGTGTGAAGCTGATCGCAGAGCCACTCTGGTTTGAACACCTAATGGTTCTCTGTAACAAGCCTGCCCTAGTTTTAGAGCAGGCAGACAAGCTGCTGCTTCATTGCAGGTAGTCTAGTTAAAATAGTATTTATCAAAGAGCTTAAGTTAGAAGTACTGACCTAGATACGAGTATCAAAACTTTTTACAACTTTTCTATGGCATGTTGCTTAATTTATGGCCTGAATTTGGATACTGAATCTCAGTATCCTCTCAAAGGCACCTGAGGTTTCACTGTCTCTTAGATAACAGATTAAACTTTGCAGGTGTTCAGGCTTCCCCATTCAGGTCTTCACTTCACTGTGGTCTTTTAAGCAGCAGGGCTGAGGAAAAAAGAAAAAAAAAACAAAACACAAACAAACAAACAAAAACCCTCACCAAACCACCACTACACTAACTTATAATCAAAGCAAGTCCAGAAATGAGCAGAGAGATTCTGCTTTTCTCTCCTTCCACCCCACTCCTCAGATTGCTTTAGTGTCTTTCCATTTCCTGTCCTAAATTAATCTTATAATCATCTGCTACAGATTTCTTTAGACAAAGCTTTTACTTTTTTGGTTGCTTTCCGACTAATTTATAAAACTTTGTTGCAGTGAAAATAAGCAACTTCAATCGTGCAAAGCCAAGACCTGACATAATTGAAGAAGAAAAGATGTATGCCTACCCTAGTCACATTACCTCAGAAATTGGATTCAGGTAGGATTTTCTGTATTAATCTTGTGCTGTGTTCAGCCATGATGTATAGGTAACACTGACTAATGTAATTGCATTACTTTCTGTAGACTTGCATATAATCTTAAATCTGTCAACCAAAGCAGAGGTGGGGATAGTAGTTCTAAAGGAAACTATGTGCTTAAGGCTGCCATTTTACATGCACAGATGAGAAGCAGCACAATCTTGTATTTTCTACGTCGTAAGAGGAATTTATTAGGATACAGAAATCCTCAAACACAAGGACAGAAATTATTTGACCATTTATGGCTGGTTGCATGAATCTTTGTGCTATAAATAACTGTGCTTAATCTGGTTTAGTTGACTTTATGTGGGAGTTTGAGGAAAGATACTGGTGTCTTACACTGTTACTTAGTATTGCTAGAGAAGCCTAGCTGCTTCAACCAGTTCTGTGAGGGAAATAAATATATTGTGAGGAGTTGAAGAAAAAAAACTGGGCAGCTTTGTTCAGTGCCAGCAGTTGGACATGAGAGTCTAGCAAGGAGTTTGGAATATATTTCCAGTTTGTGAAGGAACTTTAAAGGTGGGTAGGGCACTTAAGAGGTAAAGAAGCATCTCACTGAGAATAATCCAATATTAACCTCATGAGCACCGAGAATAAATGCTTGCTTGTTGTTCATATACCTTCTGACTGCTTGAACATCTTTCAGTTGCTGAAATGAGTCCAGTGTGACTTAAAAACCAATCGTCATAACTAACATGGATTTCCATGTAAGAATTTATTTAGAAATTTTCTGCTACAGGATGAATTGCTTCTGTATGTGTGCCTTAGTAAAAAGTCGAAGTGCGGAGATGACTAATACTTTGCTGCTTCCCCTGGTGTCACAAATGCAGTGTGCACATGCTTTTATAGAACTTGGAAGTGGATGTCCAGGATAGAGGAAGGATTTAGAGTTGGCTTAAATTTTGATACAATGTCTTGACATCCATCTTGATATAAACGTGAGTGTATAATGGATGTAATTTCTTTTACGTTCAGCTTCTCCCCTGAGAAATTCTCAAATGGCCAGGGAATGATTCTGCAACAATGACCAGCTGAGGAAAAGACTGATTATTTTTGATTAAAGAGTGCAAACTTCCTGTGAGAACTGATTGCAGAACAGTTATTTTAATTTAGCTCTATACAACTCTGACTCTTTCCCTTGAGAGTTAAGGTCTATTGAAAAGTGAATCCTGTCAGCCCTTCAGTTGACCCTGGTTATAAGAATGTGTTTTGAATATTGTGACCTCAACCTAAGTAACTGATCAGGACCTCTTACGGTGCTTTAAGTTGGTAGTGCAGATTACTGGTTAAGGTTGCAAGCTTTCTGTCTACAGAACTTTTTTCTATATTTTTTCCAGTTTAACTACAGCAGGTTTTCGATTCAACCTAGGATATTTTTCCACTCTAGCTATCCTCCTCAGCACTTTCTAAAAACTGTGAAAAGGGTTCCTCCACAAAATGCTGCAAGGCTGAAGAGCAGCTTTCTAAGCTCCAAGATGCTCATGTGTAATAAGAGGGCAGGCTTCAGCTAGGAAGAAATAATGTGTAAGGGAAGACGAGCATATGCTAAGGCATCAGTACTTGTTCTTGCTGTATTCTTAAAAGTTTCTAATTTATAGATTTGACAAAATTCTGTACTTCTACATATTTTTCCCAACTAACTTGGTTTTACTTAATGTTGCGGTGTTACTATCCTGGTTAAAATGAAAGATGTCTGAAAGCTGGAGCTACTTTAAGTGGGAGGTTAGCTGTACATGGGGTTGTAGATCTGAAACAACACAACTCTTTGGTGCTGATGCTGTTATGGTATTGTGACACGTAGTATCACAGTATATGGTAGTATAACATGTATGCTACTACAGGCTAATAAGGAAATTTCTGTCTTAAGCAGCTTATGATCCCTAGCTGAATAAAAATACTATGCCTGCTTAAAATAAGCTTCCTCATGTATCTGGAAAAGGTGCCATAGATTTCTTAGTACAATTTTAGCTATTGTCTGGCTCACCAAATTCAAGTTTGTTAAACAGTAAGAACCTTCACACTACTGCAACTTTTCCATAACTGTCTAGCAGGAAATAGTTAACTTGATTATGTATACATGGCATGAAGTTTAGCCAAACTTTTTTCTCTTTCTACCTTCTCATGCAAAATAGAAGTGAAACATAAAGGTGTTGTAGCTTGCTGCCTCCCCTCAAAAGTTAGTTGGGATCAACAAAAGTAAAACTGAAGGAAATAACTTGTTTAAGTATTTGTCAATTAGCTCTGACATTTTGTATGTTAGAAAGCTGCTGTCACTTACTGAAACCCATATTCATTTTTGTTATTTCAAGGGAAAATTCGAGTTTAGAAGAGATAGTTGAGAAACAAGGAGATGTAATAGAGTATCTTCAGAGACACAATGCACTGCTCAGCAAGAGACTTTTGTCACTAACTTCTCAACAAATCAAAACTTAACATTGTTTGGAAGACCACTGCTAGCGCTCTGGAGGGAACACAAGGTAATGTAATATCCAGAGTGATTTGTATAGATGACTACTTCAATCATCTTTCACATTTTGAAACAGAAGTGAAGCTGGAAGGATGAGCTCTACATACACTATAAGCCTATCACAACTGGACACTGGCTGTCTTCAAATCATCAGTTCTCAAAAAAGTTCTGGAGTGTCAAGGGTTTTTATTTACTAATAGGTTAAAGTTGAACCTGAGGTAATGGTTTAACTTTGTTCAGTTGTTGCTATTTTGTACTGCTGTATCCTTTAAGCTTCAAACTACCGAAGTATTTTAAGTTTCTAGAAAATAAATTTGTTCTCTAGGAAAAAAAAAATCTGACTTTGCAAAGGATGTCTTTTCAGTTTCTAGTGCTGAAGCTGAGACTACGTGTATTCTGTCACTGAGTCTCAATACTTCCAGTGTTAGAGGTGGTGTCCTTCAGTAATCCTATACAAAGTACATACTTGCTTTCTAGGTCAGTCTCCTTTTCTCCTTTGCCGAGAAAAGAAATGAAAACTGTGTCAGTGGAGAAATTTGTCATCCAAATCAGGATTTGAAAAAAAAAAAAAAAGGGTGGTGGGTACCTTAGAATGGCAAATCTCACATAGAAGTGTGTGGTTCAAAACAGTATCATGATAAGCAATTTGAGCAGTTGTTCAGAATTCTGGCTTTAAAATGTCTAAGAGGGATCTTCAGGGTTGATGACTTCTCCCATTATTACTAGGAGTCTGTGTCAGCTAATAATCAAGATTCCTACTCTACTGACTGAACTAAATACAAAAATACTTAAGACTAAGCTTTTTTTATTGACCTAGTAACTAACTTGTGTAGAATGGGTTTAAAGATCCTGGTAAAGATGCATCAGTTCCATGCATCCTTGCTCTTCGGCTCTTCAAAAATGACAGCACCTTGATTCAAAAACTAAAATGGTGTATGTGGAGAGGTGAAGTGCAGCAAAAGTCAGGTCTTCTAGAAGTTGGAGAAACAAAAATTTTTGGTTCTGTTTCCTGTGTTTATTGGGAAGGCTGGTGAAAGAACCATTCTGTTCTGGGTATTACTTTTGTCTACCAATGTAGACCAATAATTATTTTAGAAGCAAATACCTCTGTGGGGACAGGGTAATCACTAGTCAAAACTGGGAAGAAGGCTCTCATGAGGAGTGGTCTTTAGTTGAATATAAGAATAACAAAAGAAAATTAATCCGTTCTACTTGATTCCTAGGGCACAACTTTAGAAATAACTAAACTATTTAGTGTACAATAAACATGGGGTTTGTCTCATTTAAAGGAAAACAATAAATATTGGAGGTTTTGCTGCTATCCAACACTAGACTGTTCTCCTTAACTGTTGTTTCTTGAAAATGCAGCCAGGATTTTATAGCATACATGTAAGAAATACAAATGTTTTTGGTTTTAGAACTCAGGTTTTGATGTGAGTGTGTATATAAATTGATACAATTTCTATGAAAAGCAGTAAAATGTGACTGTGAAGTTCATGCACAATAAATGCAACTAAGAAAAAGCGTGAATTCTGTCATTTCTAAGCTCACGTACAGCTGGTGAACGCAGTTCCAATGGGCAATCTTTAGGTTTTCTGTTATGCTGAAGTTCTCGCTGCACAGTTTTGGCGCTTAAAACTAGCCAAAACCTGTTATGACAAGGATAGCTGTGTACTCGTTTTGAAACTTTGTTTAGCTTTATTCTCTTCACTGGGAAATTGTTTTCCATCACACTTCAGATTTTTCCTGCTACTGCTGTTTCTCTCCAGCATAAAGGAACTGGCAGCATATTGTAGCAGAACAACTTTACAGTATTTTGAGGGTGTTGCTCATACCCTCCTCCTCTCCTTTCATGACTGCTTAAGGTAAGACTTGGATTAACCCAGCAGTAGTGCTTTCCAAGGAACATGGCAGTGGGAAAGCAAGGTGCAGGTTGCCATGTGTGAACATGCACCTCTCCTCCCAAATGTGCATACTTATGAAGCACTATGAATTATTACATTATTAACAACTTGCAACAACCCACCCAACCCCCTCAGTTTTGTATCTTTATCATACCCCCACTATATCTTTTTTTTTTTTTTTTTTTTTAGTAGCTTTAGGCTTTTTTGGGGGGAGTGGGGAGGGCAGAAAGGCTTTTCACACTTGTACAGGCTCCAAAGAGGAGCTAGCCCTCTTTGCTACTCACCCTGAACACACTGGTGGGTCCCCCTTGGACCCCCCTGGACCACACAGGCCTGGCCTGCACCCCGCTCCCAGGCCGCGGTGCCCCCCCCCTCCCCGCCTGCCCCTGAGGCACGCTGTGACATCACCCACCCGTTGTGATGTCACGGCAAAGTGGCGTGACGTGGCATGGCGTGGCCTGCTGAGGCGCCGGCCCCTGGCCTGCCCCCACAGCCCTTCCCCTGCCCCAGCTCAGCGGGTGGCGGCGGAGCTGGGCAGGGAGACTCGGGTGGGCAAGCCCGTGCCCAAAAATGCAACGTAATAACGGCCACCGACTGCTGGTGCGTGAGGGAGACAAAGCTCAGCCGCGGCCTGGCTGCACCTGCCAAGCCACAGCTCTCAAAGGGGAGGCAGAGTCCTAATTTTTGGGGTGCTGCGCGGGCTAATGGTGGCTAGCCGGCCTCAGAGCAGCCCTGGGCCTGTGAGCAATGGCCGCAGGCTTGGGGACACAGACAGACAGACACAGACACACACAGACACACACACACTGGCCCTGCGGCATCGGCACCCGATCGCAGGCCGCACTGCGCTGTCTGGGGTAACACCCGTAGCGTGCCGCACGCTCAGGAAGCGGTGACGCCGTAGGTCTGAGTTTTGGGGGGGAAAAAAAAAAAAAAAAAAAAAAAGAAGTATGGCCTTGTGAACACAGCGGCTGGCACAAGCTCTGCTGCAAAGCAGGGCTTTGCTAACCACCAACCACCACAGCCTTTCTCGGGCACGGCGGGGCAAACCCGTGCGCCGGCAAGTACATGTGAATCTGAGCAGCTGACGGAAGGAGTGGTGCTCTTCATGTAATTACAGCTGCTGAAGTGCATAAATATTTGCAGGTTCGTGGTCTTAACTTGGTAAGATCTAGTGGGTTGCAACAGGGACAGCAGAAAGATAAAGAAGAAGGAATGTTTCCTAATATATGTTGCAACTGCACATTAAAAAAAAAATATATTCTAATTTCTATTTTGTTTTTCTTACTCGGTTTGTACCCCAACAGCTTTTTGCTTCTATAGAAAAACAACGTATGTGTTTTTCATGCTTGGGAAAACAAGTATTTCAGACCCCATAGGAAACAGAAAGGATTTAGGGTTGCCCCCAAAATGTTCACGTTGTGGATTTTTTGATAATTTCTAGATGAAATTCTGAAACGCACTAAATGTTTTGTACACATGAAAGAAATGTGATGATCTCTTGTGATGATACTTTGTGAATGCACGTCCTATATGAGGAAAGATCTCAGTTGCTCTTTGTGTTTAGTCTTTCTGAATAGCTCACAGTAAAAATTCTATATAAACACTTTAATATTTTGCCTCACAAAGGAAATCACTGATTGTAAAAGACTTTAACAGGATTTTCATGCTTTAAGGTTCTACATGAATATGCAGTTAACCAGGCTTGCCCCACTCAAGGTCATTCTTAATCTAAAAAAGAAAGTTGTATCAGGGACCTAAGGCACTTGGGCAGACAATACTTGAACCTGGAGGTAACTCAAGAGCTGTGAAAAACCATCCTCAGGGTTGGAATGAGATAGGCTTTTAGGCATTATTGCTAACTGAAGACACAGATGGAGCTGTTGATGCTGTTGGAGCCTTTCCCACTTTGCACAAATAGTTTGGAGCTGATCACTACCAAGAAAGATAAAGGCCATTACCCTAGTGAGAGATGAGTATGCTAATTGTACTTGTCTGACGATAGTCAAACATTTGAAGCTTATTTACCATACTAATGCTTCTCCTGGTTGATGTAGATATAAATCTGTGTCACCCTTAGCAAAATCTGGCTTTGTGTGTACAGGCGCTGAGATATTTATAGCAAATGTATGTGGTGTAAGGGAAATATTTCCAGTCTTTATTCTTCTTTAATTTCCTTTTTTCCATACTGGAAAGGGAAGGGGTGAATTGTTTATTATCCTTTGGGAACACACTACTCTGCTGTTTCTCACCGCAGCCTTACATTTACCTCTGTTTCCTGTTGCCCTGCTGTTACATCATTTTGTATTTCATTATAAAATAGCTAACACAACTTAAAAGACTTAATGAAACTGACTTTCAAGTAAAACTTAAGTTTTTCGCCCATAACGGCTATCTACAAGACAAGGCCTTAGTTCTAAGTTTCAGCAACTCCCACTTTGCCTTTCAGAGTTTGAGGTCTGACTCTACCTTTGGATCAAGTCTTGATTGTTAAGACGGCTTCTGTGGAAACATCAACTCTGATTTGTATTTGTACAAAGTTCCTTTAAAGGCACACTCATAGGTGCACAGGGAAAGTTCACTCAATTCAGCAGTTGTAGCACTGTGTCCCAATGCTTCATGTTTTTATATGTAATTACACTGTTGTCATGCAAAACTGTTTTGTTTTTTAACCCTATGCTGCGCGAATCAAATAAAAACAGGTAATTTCAACAAAGTCAAAGGCAAATCCAGCTCAGCTGAAAACAGGGTCCTCTGAAGCCCTGCTCCTGCTTTGGTTAAACATCAACGTAGTGTTGTACCATAGTAGCATCACTTGGCTCTCTAATTCTACTGTATAAGACATACAGCGCTTAGAAATTTATTTACAGTACCCAACCTTCCTTAAGTGGGAGAAGTTACCCTACATGTGGGTTTCTGCTATACCTCAGACTGCTGAGCTTGGTTTTTGTCCTGAAATAAGGCCGTCTTCTTTTAAGTTGTGTGAAGATTCAGATTCCAAGATTTACCACTCTTGAGATAAATAAGAGTCTTGTTTATTTTAGGCATGAAGACAGTGCGTAATCTGGGTTCTGCTGTAATCCCAGGGTGGTATCATGATGTCCCGTTACATCATGCTGTGACTACACCAACTACTAGTTTTAAACTATGTTCTCTTTATATGGCTTTTATCAGAATTTTGTACTTTAGAAAGATATAAAATGTCAGGAAAATGTTTCCATGAATAACTACTCTTTATTTGTGTAAGAAATTGAGGAAGAAAAGTTTTTTACACACTTGATTCCATATGAATCCTCAGGGAAACTAGACAAATGCTCAGTTTTCTTTAGAGGCATTGCCTTTGACAGCTGAAGAATAAAAATTCTGAAAAGTGTACAAAAAGCTTATTTAAAATGAGATGTCCTTATTTGAAGTGCATACTATCTTTTTTACAAATACACAATCAGCCAGCTAGTTGATAAACAGACCTATCAAAGATCACAATCAATATCTTTTTCAAATAAGATTTTATGGTATCAGCACGTCTAAAAATAATTACAATAATCTTGTAGACTGACAACAGACTTTCCAGGGTGCTTTGGTGCTTGTTGTTTCATTTATTTTTACATCTGTAAAGGAACATGTGTATATAGCACTCTGATAAGATACATTGTTTTTCTTACAATTTTATCAAAGTTAACTGAATAATTATGGTTATACAAAATATCCAGTGGCACACTAAATCCGTATACTCATATAACTGTTAAGATAATTACACTTCACCTTTCTTGCTTTTCCCTACTCTTTACCTGTACTTCTAAACAGAGATAGTCATGGATACATATGAAAACTAAATTAAATAAATAATTAAAAAATAAAGTCAGTGGTAGTATGTGTCTAATTTTGGAAAACTGCCTTTTTTTTTTTTTTCTCCCAAAACTCCAGAGGTTTACCTGCAGGGCTGTTTGTTGATATAGACAAGTTTGACCATCTTTTTATGATTATTTTACAAAATTCCAGAATAGGATGTGATGTTGGGGTTTTTTTACAGGGAGAGAAATTTGAAATTCCTGGTAAGCTCTGCCAGTATGAATCTGATTAAGATTTCAGGTTCTCAGAGATGAGGGGTTGCATATAGGCACTGATCAGAAAGTTTCAACTACCCATTGTGTTGCAAGACAAAATTCCAATACTGGATTTAAACTATGATACTGATGATCTCTTCTCATCTTTATACGATTTACAAAAAATGTTTACATTTCAAGTCTAGTGCAATGACTTAAAAATCTATGTATGACTTATTTTCAGGTTTGTTTTAGTTCTGATAATGAAAGGGCTATTGTGTTTTCTTTCATATGTAGGTTTGTAATTTCTGCTGATATAAAAAGGAGATTTGAAACATTTTTTTTTTTAAGTAAAATAAAAGCTCAATGTATTCTTGACCTCCAGCGCTGAAAAGAACAGCCTGTTTTGTGTTTGAAGTTCTCATTCATTGTAGTGCCGTGTTCCAAATATCCCATTCATTTAAATTACAGGAATGCAGTACTACGCAACGCTGGGGTCGATGAAACAAAGGTTTCTTTTCAATGGTCTATTTTTATGTTCTATTTATAATACTGTAGCGGGTATTTTAAGAAAACTACTATTAAGCAAATAGTCCTATAGTACTGAATTTTCAAGTATGTTTTAGCTGTCTGGTTTGGCAGTCCAGTTTAAGAAAACAAACGATAGGCTTTGCAGTAACAGCTCATTAGACAGGAGGATGGGCTTGACCTTAGGGCCTGAGTTGGGAGATCTGAGTTATCAGTTCTGCATGACCCTTGGCTAATCTCTTATCTCAATGTGCTTCAATTCTCTATCTGTAGAATGAGGGATAATATGCTCTTTGCTTTCTTATATTGTAAACTCTTATTCTGCTTACTATACATGAAGCCAGTAGGACCTCGAGCCTGGTGGAGCCTGGTGCTGACTTTGGTACTGTTACGGTGATACATTCTACATGATTATTAAGGTAATTCCATAAAGATGTAACATTAGGCGTTAAAACAGATGTGTATATATTATTAATGTATAAAAGCATAAACAAAGAATGGACTGTCACAGTTCTGTGCTGGAGTTTGACATTATTTCACCCTAAATACTGCCCTACACGCGGCTTGAATTGAGGAGTCAACAGCGTATCCAGTTTCTCTGTCTGAACAGTCCAGACCATTAAGAGTCAGTCCCCTTGGACAGGTCCTTCTTGATGCCACTGGAAATCCGTCTCAGGTATCTGATGGTTGATTTGGTCTTTAACTTTCACTAGTTGTTATGACAGCCAAAGAATTTATACAGAATGTTCCAACCAGGTAAATTTCATGTACATCTTTCCATCATCTCCCCCCGCTTCCTAGGGTGGGAGCCGGGGCCTCCGTTCTGGGTCTTGCAGAATGTGACAGACGGGACTGCGGAAGACGGGACTTCGGTGGCTCCATCAGGTCAGCTGTTGTCGATCTGGACTTCTGACTAACTTCTCTATTGGTTTAATTGTTACTCCTTTAAAACACTGAAAAGCCCAATATGAAATTGCTGAGGGAAAAAAAAAAAAAAAAAAAAAGGAGAGGAATAGCCATTAATGAGATTGTGTAGTCTAACGTCTCATACAAAATAGAATACATTACTTATGAAATTCCTGCATTGAAATTTGGGGTAATGTTTCTTAATTTGGAAATTTCAACTAAAAATATTAAGGGGAAAAAAAAAAATCAAAAAGCCAAAAGCAAGAAGGCTTCTAATACAAGATTTTATTCTTTTTTTGTTCCATGTTTTGCCTTTGTAACTGCTGAAAAATTGTCCTGGTTCGGGCTGGAATATAAAGTTCAATCCTCTCATCATTTCAAACGTTGCTGTGAAAAAGAGAGGCTGCTATGCTCATCCCGGTTTCCAACCACCTGTTGAAATTCAGGCTTAAGGGTCCATCCCGTTTGCATCTGCAAATAGCTTTATCCATACGTACAACTCCATTGAGATCAATAAGATGACTCATGTGAGTCAAGTTACCCAGGCATGTAAATATTTGCCGAATTAGGACTAAAACTGGAGGGGAATGTTAAAGTAGATGGTAAATCCTACTTAAGATAAAGGAGCTGAGCACCCACTGTGATGACTGGAGTTGAAGAGAGTTAGTTCAGGTGCCTGTCACCCCTTACTCCCCAGTTAAGATTTATGGATTTCTAAACATCTTTCTAAAGCAGAATTATCTCTAGTGAAATGTCTACAAAACATATTATGAATTAGTAAGTACGCTGTTTTGCTTTGTCATTGACTTCTGTTACAAGAAATCGGCTCCTAACAGATAAGGAGGTAACACGGAAAATACCTTTTATCTTTATACTCTGTAGGGAAAATAATTCCAGTGTTGTGCAGCTACTGCAGTCTCAAGCAAAATGCATTATATGCTGTTTCAGAGCACATTAGAGAAAATGTAGATGCTTTCTGCACAGACAGTCTCCAGATGATTATGGATGCTGAGCTGGAGGAAGGGGGGTTAAATTTACTTTTCTCAGGAACTGAAGCAAGCCATTCAGAATCGATTTGAGAAAGTCTCTGGGCCTAAATTCCACTGTCCTTGTCATTCAGTCTCTGCATGCTGAGTGAATTGATCTGATCGCTTATCTTTTTAGGTTGATGCTTCAACTGAAGTGAGGGAATCTCATTCAATGTCTCTCGTTGAAATGAACCACAGTGAGGAGAGGGTGGCATTCGGTAGTAAAGCATTCTTCTGGCATGCCCCTCTTTTCTAATTGCAGCCCAATTCTGCCACTCAGTATGCAGCCCACCCGAGATTAAGCTGAGGATACCGTAATCTTTTCTCAGCCTCACCGACTTGCGGATTTACCATCCCATATGCACACTCCACACGCTTCTAGGCCAGCTCTATAGAGCAGGAGGGTACCTTTTCACTTGGCTGTTTCGGGAGTGGTGTAGGCTCTTTTCACCGGGGCAGTTTATGCCTTGACAAGATTCTTGGTATAGGGTTGTTAAAAGTTTGACTTTGGTCTCCAGTTTACTGTTAGCCGCTCAGTAAATGGAAATATCTTTGTAAATTGGGCCCACAGAGTGCGGGCTCCGCCATCATTTGTTTATGATCTTGTCATGCCTGGGGCTACAACATTATCGTAATATATAATGAGTTTAGAAGACGCAAAACTACTGACTGCATGTTTTATTCATTCTTAAACTGCCAGAGCACCTCGGTTTCCTTTTGATGCCTGCCCTATTTGCATATGCTACCTGTGTGCTTCTCCAGCCACTTCGTATTTGAATGTATATGCCCCCACCGTCAGCTATAAAGCATTAATGCTTTGCACTTGTATAGCCTTTCATCCAAGGAGCCTCAAAGTCTTTTGCTTGACAATGATTAAGAATTACGGTCCCCTTTGAAGTGGGTAAACGCTGCTACCTTCGTGTCCCTGACGGGCAGCCAGAGGTGGCTTTGCCCCACATCCCACACCGAAGCGGTGTCGGAGCATCCGAAGCGGTGTCGGAGCATCCGAAGCGGTGTCGGAGCATCCGAAGCGGTGTCGGAGCATCCGAAGCGGTGTCGGAGCATCCGAAGCGGTGTCGGAGCATCCTCTCCGGCGCTGGCCAAGCTCCTTACGCTGCTCGCCCCGCACCTTTGCCGGTAGCCTCAAGCGCCTGCGGAGCAGCAGCCGGTCCGATCGTGGGGAGCCGGGTGTTTTCCTCCGTGCGCCTCTCCCCCCACACACCCCCCCCGGTCCTTTTCGAACCGAAGCGAAGCGGCGGAAGCCGGCCGAGCTCCCACGCGTGCTCCGGCCTCCTCCGCCCCATGCCCCTCAGATTGCTCCGAAACTCAGGTGTCAGTGGGGAAGGGTGGGTCCTGCCGCGGACACCCGGCCGGGAAGCGGCGGGAGTCGCGTCCCTCATTCCCCCCACCACCACCACCACCTCCTCCGCCCCGACACGCGTGGGTTACCTCGCCCCACGCTCCCGCGGGGGTTCAGGGGAAGGGCACCCTGGAGTGGAGCGGCATGCAGCGCCGGTGGGAGCAGCCGTGCCGGTGGAGCTTCCTGCGCAGGGCCAGGTTGGCTGCGGAGACACGGAGGGACACGGAGAGTGGGCGTGGGGGAGCCCCAGTTTATTCCTGCCCCACCCCCCCCCCGGGTTACCTGGCTCCAGGGACACCAGGTGCCTCATCGCACGCTGCCGCCCCTCAGCAGGGACGAAGCCCACAGAGCGAGGCAGCGAAAACGCGTGGCAGTGGAAGCCGGGCAGCTGCAAACGCGTCCCGGGAGGGCGGGAACCGCGTGTGGGCTGCGGTTAGAGAAACACGCCGGAGGTTGCCCACGGCAGGCACGACCCCCGGGCACACGCAGTCCCGCCGGGGCATCGCTTACCTGGCCTCTGCCCGTGGGCAGGGAGGAGGCTCGCCAGGAGGAAAAACACGATAAAAACCAGCAGTTGGAGTCTCATGGCTGCGGTCAGCGTAGGGCCGCGCTCCGGGGTGCGTGTGCGTGCGTAGATAGGCGAAGAAATGTATAGAACGCCGTCCCGCGTGGCTCTAAGAGGCCGGCAGCCCCCTCCTGGCTCCCACGCCGGGGAGACAGCCGGCAGCGACCCTTTCAGCAGGGTTAATGATCAGGCGGGGGGGGGCAAGGCTCCTGCGGTCAGTGCCTCCCTCGCTTCCCTTCTCCCTTTCCTCTCTTTTTTTTTTTTTTTTTTTTTTTTTTTTCCGTCACTCCCCCTTGTTTTCCATAAGCAAACAAAGCAGGAATGAAAAGTCCGTGTAAACAGTAGCTTCTGTCAAGGCATTAAGGGCAAGGCAGCCTCTTGAACAATGCGGCGACTTCACTTAAGAGTCAAGCCAGGCAGTGGGGGGGGGGGGGGGGGGGGGGGGGGAAAAAAAAAAAAAAAAGTAAAACATGCCCCGATGTTCCCTCCCCCCATTTGCAACTGTTTAAACTTTGCATTGCCCATATTCGTTCCACATGCAGAATGCAATGGCAGCGGCAGGAAGTGTGTGCCCCCCCCTCCCACCCCCCGGCTCCGCTCTGTCCCCCTGCAGCGGGGGCTGGGAGCTCCCCCCACCCCCACACCCCACACACACACCCCCCCACACACCCCCCCCCGGCCTGGGGCTCCTCGCAGCTCAAACGCTTTCTCCCCTAAAGTAGCTGCGAAGTTGCGGCTATTCAAAGTGAAACTGGTAACAGTTAAGGCTAATGGGTGTCTTTTGTACCCTCGAGTATTTTTAAAGGATCAGAATATTCTGGAATTAATTTGCGAGATTTTTTTTTTTTTTTTTTTTTTGCCATGTCGGGTAAATCGCAAACCATACGCACTGCATCTGTTACAACAGCTTCATCGGGGGGAAAGGGGTTTTGGGTGGGACGTCGCGTTTGCATAACCCACCTGTACACTGCATTAGATTTGTACCAGATGATGGCGAAAGCTCGCTTTGACAAACCACGCCGAAAACAGCTGGGGTGGTAACAGTGCAGTTATGCAAGCCTGGAGGGAAGAAAGACAAACCCTGCGAGAAACGTGTTAGCGGCGGTGATGGTTTTGAAACCCAGTGAATTACTGGCATCAGTTACAATTCGGCTGGTCCTCTTTTTACTTTCAACCTGCTGATTTCTTGGGATGGAATAGCACCTGGTGATTTGGCAAGTAAAAGCGTGTCCCTTTTTGGAAAACGTTTGTGTTTTAAAATATGCTGGAAAGAGTACATTTCCGTTTAGATTAAATATTACTACTAATAGATGAGTATTATCGAAACATCTGAAGCTGTTCTTTGCCTAATTCCCCGAAGAGTGGGATATATGGGATTTTTAATTAAACTGCTCCTGTACTGTTTTTCCCTGTTGTGGGTTTTCCCGTTTTCTTTAAAAGCCCGTTTAACTCGGTAGTGCATGCTAGTGCCTCCTCGTACAGTTGTACATCATTACGGGGTTACTTGATTTGTTTAGATGAAGCACGCCTGTGTGAATTAAAAGACACCTTGCAGCCTGAAGACGTGCTGGAAATAGTTAGTAAATATTATTTTTAGATGATGTCAAGACTGCTGAGGAAGATGTCTCAGACAAAGCAGGAACAAAGGAAATCTCTGCTGGTTGGTCGCATTGGTCTGTCGTAGGCAGCACACGCTTCCCGGTGTTCGTCTGTCCAGCTTGGTGGTCATGATGTTTTCTCTGTACGATCTCTGGGCTTTAAACTAGACTCCCATGTAATGTTGGTGCCACCAGCTCAGCCGAAATCAGGGTCCCATGGTGCCAGTGACAGGATTGTCCTAAAGAAGGTATCGTTTCAAACAGAAAGGCGATGGAGGGGGAGAGAAGCGGTGTGCTCAGGTCGCGAGTTTGCGACGGGATCAGGGTTACACCTTCAATATCCCAAATCTCACTCCACCAGGCACATCTGTGGGGGTGCTGGGGATGCGTTCCCTTGTTCGAGGTGAATGAGACCAGGCTGGCCACCTCCTTCCTACAGCCCTGCAAGCGATGATGACTTCCATTCAGCAGTGAGCTATATAAGGTTCAGACTCATAACCTTGAGGTGAAAAGTAGTATAGACTTCAAAGCGATAGGGAGTCTGCGAATAGCTAAAAGGGCAGAAAGAATGCATAGACTATTGCCAATCCCTCGGGCTATCTAGGCCTCTTCTGCACCTCTACGTGGTGAAGTTTACAGACTTTCCCAGGAGGCGTTAAATTTTAAGGGAACTGAGTAGGATACAATATTTAAGAGCAATATTGATTTTGTTTTAACTTAGTTTACTATGAGCTGTTTATTCCACAGTTACTCTGTGCAGAAGCTTACAAAGGTTTATTTAAGTAATAAAGTCCAAGACACTAGCATGAGCATCATGGATTTCTTATGATTTTCATGTAAGCTACAGTAATAATTTGATGCTTACCCACTGAAGAAATTTCTAAAATGCGTTACAGTTCCACTCTAGAATTTATAGTTCTTTTGCAAGCAGCCTTCCTTCAGGTACCTACTTTCATGTGGCTTACCACTACTTGAAATTAGGAAAAGAACAACTAGGCAGAATGTAGTGATGTAATAGTCCTGCCTTTTTTATGATGTTTGCTGGTGGCTTTTGTGTTGTTTTGTTTTTGTTGGTTTTTTTTTGTTTGTTTGTTTTGTTTTGTTTTGTTTTTTAATTGGCTTAAGAGGAAAGGGAATATTAAGTGCATAGGAAAGCTGGAGGTCTGTAGATAATGCTTTATGAGCTAGAAGAATTAGTTCTTTGAGTCAAAAGCTTCCCTTCTCTCTTATAATCTGAAAGGAACATGATAAAGGAATGATGATTTCAGCATTTATTACCAATATCTTTGCTACTTTTCCAGCAGGCACTTTGTTCCCTACCTCTTCCTTAATAGCATCAAAACAGTCAAATTATCACTTTACTTCCAGAAATTGAAAAAAAAAGATAGTTAGCACATTGCAGAAAAAATTTCAGAAGTTACAACAGGAAAATTTAGGACTGCCTTTCCTGGATATCAAACATTAACTGTAAGTAACACACATGTCATTGTCTTTTGCTTGATACATTTCAGTAAGTCGTATTCGGTACTGTATCACTTCATTGGGTATAAATTGTTCTGCATGACATTTCCAGTGCAGGGTGACTGTTACAGTCTATTTATTTGAGGATAATATAAATTGAAATCATTGTGCCATTTCTAAGAATAAGATTTGGAGAACTAAGGGAAAAATGACAGAGGGAATATAAAACTATTTTGTCACAGATAGAAAAATATAAATTGTTTTGAGAATTTAAATGAGAGACCAAGTGTTTGGAAGCACAAAAGATAAAATAATGCATAGGAGCAGTAAAATTCATAGTGATAAGAAGTAGAGTAAGCAGAGTTGGATGATAACAACAGGAGGGAAAGATTATTGGGCCCTTCCTAGTAAGGAGTAAGGGATTCATTAGCATTCTCTACTGGGCTGCTAGTCAGAAATTGAATCCTGCCTTTCATTTGAAGGCCAGCACATAACTATAAACTCTAGTGTTTGTCATTAATCTTTGAGAGCAGCTTTCACATGCTGTCATCATAAAATGTTAAATGAAGCTTTTCAAGTACAGGAATTGTTATATATGGCAATACTGGTTTCAATCTCTGTATCTCAGATACCCCCATGGACAGTATCTCTTCCCCTTCCAGAGAACCGTGAAAATACATTGATCATTGTGGATCTCTGCTGTGAGAAGACGTGCCGAATGCTCATCAGAGTGATACTAACGGTGAAAATTCTTGTTTATTTTGACTTAACAGTGTCAGATAAAATAGAATACCAGAGGTTCTAATCAGATTTTCTAACTTTGTGTTCCCCAAATTCATCCATCTTGCTGATCCAGAGGAATTATTTCACTAGCCAGACAGGATCAGGGATAAAAACATTTACTTCAAAAGAATTTGGTGAAGCAAATAATCAAGTCCAATGGCAGATGTCATTAGGAAAAGTTCTAGGTTTTCCCTTGTTCTTTTCTATTACATTGCAAGACGGTATATGAGTTTTGCCACAAAACAAAAGAAAAAATGCCCCCAAATTATGAGTCATGTCTTGAGGGGAAAAAGTTGGCAAAGAAATACCCAAAGGGATAAATTTTGAAATGTTGTTTAGGTATCTGCGGTGTATTTTTTTCACCACAAATTTCACTAGGATTATTATTTCATGGTTTTATTGGGTCTATGTGCCAGACATGAATATAAAGGACGGTTTTTCTTCAGCCCGGGATACAGCATCAGAAGCCAAATGTAATGTTTGCCTTCTTCGTTGGCTATAATCGTGAAAACTACTTTGTCTAGACAAAACTCATTAGCTCAAAAATTATGATTTCAGGAGCAAATGATGGACTTTCTGTCATGGCTTTAACCTGTGCTTGGAAATGAAAACCTACTCAGAAGCTAAAACCTGTTCCTTCTCTTTTGATTTTTATGCTTTTTCTGGAGGGAAAAAAAAAAAAAATCCACTTCCTTGCCTGTTTGTGCTCAGCTGCCTTTCCTGCCTGGGGGGTCACAGTGCTCCGGAAGAAAATGGTGATCATCAGGCAGGAGGAATGTGCACCAGTAACCTGACACTGGACACAGATGTGCTCAAGGAAAGGAAATGGGGGACGGTTCAGACTAGGCTAAACCTTGTGTAATTTTGACTTTTTTTTTTTTTTTTTTTCCTGTCTGAAAGGTTTTCCGCGTGCATTGTAGAGATGCAGAACCTAAAAAGTACATTTTATTGAGTTTTAAACTGGGAAGAAAGTTTGCTGCATGCATGGCAGCATCTCCAGGGTCTTAGTGCAGTACAAGTCATAATTATAATTATTAGAATAATAATAAAAAGGAAAAACATTCTGTGGTAGACTTCAGTCTGTCCGTCTCCTGTAACCCTACAATCTGTAGGATTGATTTCATTTAATACACTGAAAGTAATACTAGCCACGCACCTGAATTATCATAAAGACCCTCCTAGATAAATGATGATTTGATCAGTTACCTACAGAACTCTATTGATGGATTTTCCTTTTTACTTAAGGAAAACACGTTTACATGGGCTTTAAGGTGCACTTGTTTTTCAGTTATTTTCCATTCCTACCAAGTAAATTGGACTCTAAGATTTATCTAGGAAATATGTATGGCTTTTTTTTTGGTGTTTTGGTTTGGTTTGGTTTGGTTTTTTTCTTATTAGGAAAACACAGAGGCGAGCTCTGGAGCAGCAGTGCCTGTGATCCCCACCAGCGCAACCACTTGTTCCATTTCAGGCAATCTATTCAGGGTCAGATTCTTCTCTGGCACCGGTCATAATTTCAGATCTTTTTTAATTTGAAGAGACATTTATGTGGTCTTTA